GCGTCCTAGTTGGCGTAATCTATAGTCCTTGCGCATGTCTAGAGAATCATGAGAAGATTCATCTGAAAAGGACTCAGGATGCAAATTTGAGAGGCAGGAGGATCAAGGGTCAAAGTCGGAAGTGAAACGTTGGGGAGAATATAAATCCCCCGGAAAAGTAAACCTTAAGTATATGATAAGAAAATAATTGGAATTCGCAAATGCTAACGGAGCTCGACCTATGCCTAATATCCGTATGTATCAGTGGAATGGCAGGAAACGCATCACCAAGTGCGAAAATTGGAGAGTCCACAGGTCTAAGAGGCATGGGAAAGTCAGATATAAGACATTTTCTGAGACTGCCTAATGGGACAGAGTGAACACTTTTTTGTTTCAGCACTGACCCTACATTTTAATCAGCTTTATTGAAATGATCAATGAATGTGCTTTCCACTGACGTGCGAAGAGTAAAGTTCTGATAATCTTGACGCATCAAGAGGAGGGTTAAAGCATGAATCCCTGAAGCGAGCTCAATGATCGTCACAGTGTTGTCATATTCATGGCACATCCATAATCAGAAACCCACAATAATCGCTGGATAGCCGAACGCGTACAGCACAGCGTCACGTGCTCAACTGTCCGTGGGATCGAATCGCCATCTGGATTTTATATTATGACCCGTATTCTGTATTTTTCGTAATATTTTTCCAGATTAAGCGCAAATATTACATAGATTATTTACAACAATTTAAATACTACAACATTTTTTCAACATAATTTTTTATTTTTAATAGTAGGGTTAAGGTAGTCGCACAATGCACCAATGAAAAACAAGAGTTTCAGCCACGCGATTGTATCAACATGAGATTTGGAGTATCAGAATGCAGAAGTTGCTGAAATGAAGTGTAACGCAACTGCGTCATACTTGCATATCTGGTGCCTAACAAAGGTGTCACTACGCACGACTAAAAGTAACGTTTATAACCGTAGCAACAGACCTCAGAAGAGCCCAGACGCTCTGCGGCTCTTGTTAGTAACTTGTGATGTCGTGTGATTCTTGCTCTCTGGTACCCTGTCACTATACTTTGTTAATAATTACAGGCGCATAGTAATGAAGACGGGGTACCAGTCTAGAACGTCGTCACTCACGTCGCAGAATTAGATGCGCTTTTGTCAGAATTCGATGCACTTGTGTCTGTGGTGCCATTTATAACGTAATTGTCGCGATATTAATGAATGCTGCTGCATTATTGGCTATTCAATATACCGTAACAGCATGAATACATTTCGTCGATGACTAGTTTCAGTAGGCGTAATGGTTTGCATATACATATATTTCAGAACTTTGTGTATAGAGAAGTGATCCGTAAAGAATATTTAGGGAGCACATCCAATGTAATCAAAGGCTCTAAAACATGTTGACCTAATGAGACAAATTACGCATCGGCCAGGCAATCGCAGCAAGTGCTTGTATGGTCGCGTCGGAGAAATATGAGAACGCCAGGAAATGTGTTGAAATCCAATATATTATATATGCAAATCAAAAGAGTAAGAATAGAAATGCAATGTGAAGCAAGTTGTGTACCCCATCACGTGATTGCCGGCTGTGAATTTTAAAACGTAATTCTGATTTGATTATCTGGATTATGACGATCAAATCGTGTGAGCACTAATGCACGGGCGTGGAGCTTGCATTACTGCGCCAACATCAGGACACGGTTCATCTGTATGCGATAAGATAGAACAGATGAGCAAACGATGTATGTCATACATATTACTGACGCGGGACCATAATATCAAGAGCGTATAAAGAAGCGCTTCCAGGTTAGCATGTCGAAGCAAGACGCAACTGGATCTACATTAAAATGGGCGTTGCATTTCGTTGACCCTTCGATTGGCGCATAATTATTAAACAGAGAATCCGGCTGCATTATAATAGTGAGTGCGGCGGCGCGGCCAGCGTGACGCGCTAGATAGAACCTCACGTCTGATTGATCACGCAAGAGGCGAACGATAAAAATAATAAATAATTGTGAACATTAAAGATTATATGATTATTGGCATTCAGGCACCGCCGGAAATATATCACACCTTGGTATTTATGCGCACATTTGAATTAGCATACTAATATGATCAGGAGTTAATAAAGACAAATATTTGACACATAAATATATACAAGAGCTAATAAATAGGTATTTATTAGCTGTTGATATATACCTATTAAATAGACGGCGTGAATACTCTATTATATGCTGATCAGTGTGCAAGCGGCAAGCCCATGGGCAGCCAGCTTGTATTGTGGCAGATGAGCATTGGACCGGCATGCGAGGAAATTGTCGAAAAATAATATGAAAGAGAGTATAGAAACATTAAGAATTAGGTAGTAAATAGATTCGTAATTATATAGGCATTATATTTATTGAAACCTCACAAGTGCCTGTGTGCTACAAGCGACTACAGCGCCTTCTACTGTGCGCTCTCTGTTTGGCCAGCTACGCCATCTATCAATTTCGTAATTGATATCAGCTTAATATCGTTACATTTACCGCCGCATGGCATCGGAGAGGCAAGGTCAAGCTCACTTGGGGTTTCTCTCTGAAATAATTCAAGGTAAAGTAAGCCTTACTACGGGGCCACGCAAATGGTCTTTATTATGGTATTCTAAATCATGCAGAAAAAATAGGGGTTAGTCATTTTTCAAGTAGCAATTGGAGACTCCAAAAATTTGGATTTAATTCAGTTGAAATCAATCAACTTCAATTTGATCATGTTAACATAACGTCATTTACATACACGATTATAATTGCTAAGTCGTTGAGCGAATCATGTAAAAAACAAGTCGCATTTCTGATATTCTTCAAATTTCGAGCGCGTGCGTGCAGTGACGGTCGTGCACATAAGTAAAGGCCAGCATTCTTACATAAACTCAGCACACTCGCGTAAAATATTCCCGGACACGTAAACTGAAATAAACAAGTGTTTGCTGCGTGCTTCACATGATTTGGTGATATGTAGGCCTACGTACGTGCAGGAGCACTCGAAAGTATCCATTCGGTAACCATGCACCCTCTCCATCGACGAGGCTGCCATCTAGCGGGTGTCCTCGCACCGGAAGAGAGGAGAACGCACGAGTGAGCAACATTAACACAACAGCGACAGCAGCCGTGAGCGCGTTGCTAGCCGCGTACATGTCCTGGGGCAGAATATAGAGATTGCACAGCAGCCATGGTCCCCTCCACAGGTTGATCGCCCCGAAGTCAGCCGCCGCGTAAAACAAATCCTCGAAGATCAACTTCAGAAGCAAGCGCGAATCGAGTCGCTTCGACACGCAAGCTGCGATCGGTTGCAGGACACAGCAAAGCGAGCAAATTCCGACTCCGAGAATGAGTGAGGCCCACGCCGTGAGCGTGGGGCTGTCGGGCGCTAGGTACACATTCATGAGCGTCCATACTCCGCGCCACACAAACACGACCAGCGTGTCCACGAGAAGGCGAGTGATCGCACAGTCGAGCAGGAATGTTCTCCAGTTGCTGGGCTGGAACGTTGGAATAGTAACGAGGGAATTAGTTCCAGTTACTAAATCATTCATATTTTCAACATTCACTACATTATTTCGCAATTTATTGACTTTCTCTCTCTTTCTCTCTCTCGTCTCTCTCT